CAGGTATATAAATTGCTAAAGCTGGGATTCCTGATTGCATGACCTGGTGCAGGAAGCCCTGTTCTCTATGGTGGGGACATGTGCATCTACTCAGAATCCCTCAAATCACACCACTTTGGCAGTCCACATTATGACTGGAAGTGGTCACTAAGCCACACTGCCTTCCCTCTGGTCAGCATTACTCCATGGAGAAGAGAAGAGGGTCCAACAGGGAGGTGAGGAGCCCTCCAGCTCACAGACAGGGTTGGAGCACATGATCACCAGGGCCCTCTGCCCCCAGCAGAGAGGGGTCAAATCAGGGAAGGAAGAAATGTGCCTCCCATCCCTGCACAGCCCTCCACTAGGCCCCTGGCCTCCTCAGTCCTGTGTCCAGGTGCCTCAGCTGCCTCACTCCTGCCAAGCCTTCCTACCAGTCCTCCCACCTGGACCACCCTTGCTCCATCCAGACCCTGGACTCTGATCCTGCTCCAGGCCTCTCTGGCCTCCAAACAGGATGACTGCACTTGCTTCCTCAGCCTTGAACCTGTAGTTCATCACCCTGGTCCTATCAGACGGACTTGCTATTCCATTGATGAGGGAGATGACATAAGCCCAGAGCTTCAGAGCCGGGCAGTGATACAGACAAGATTCAACCAAAATGGTGCAACCTCCTGCAGCTCTCCCCCTTCCAGGCCAACAGGACCCTACAGAGCTTGTGGAATCCCTTTCTTAGGGAGAGCAGGCTCTCTAGCCACAATTCCCAGGGACACAAACTGTGCCAACATTTTCTGGCTTGTCCCACAAGACGTCCTGAGAGGCCCTTATGTCCAACGGGAAGACGTGTGTGCGCTGTCTATTCCCAGAATCTTTTCTAATGTTCATGAGAACTGCCCACCTACCATGCGTCAGTCATTAGACTAAACAGTTTACCCACATGATCTCATTCTCCTCACAATGGAATAGAACAGATGAATGACAGGGAGTGGTTCAGTAACATGGCCAAGGCCTCATAACCTTCCCTCTGCAGGCCTCATCCCTTCTCAGCCTGAGCCCTTCTCTGCCAATGAATGATAGGAAGGAAATGTTGCTCTTGGTCTGTTGAGAAGGAACTTGTTTAATCCCAAGCACAGGATCCTGCCTGGAGGAGAGTGCCTGCCAGAGGAATCTGTATGCAGGGGAGTTGGGGGTGACGATACAGGCATCCCCTGGAGGTTACCTGGACAAATTGGCTGCAGCCACAAATCTCGCCCAGGATTCATCACTCAGCAGGCGTTGCAGTTTCTCTTTGTTCCATGGGTCCTTTAAAAACTCAATGGCATCAATAAAGTCTTTGTGCTCTAGATGGAAAGTGAAAAACAATGAGGTTAGAAGGTAATGGGTAGAATAGAAATGGAATTGAGTATCTAATCTAATAAAATGGAAATATGCAAATTGACCATCACTCCATCACAAATATTGCAGCACCCATAGCATCCCAGGCACATGCCACAGAGGGAGGGAGGGGGTCTGGGCAGGCAGCACTCCTCCACCCCAATGCAGGGTTAGGGCATGTTCCTGGCAGCTGCCTCTGGGCTCAGTGCACACCTCCACCCCAGCAGACACAACCCAGTGGCTCTCTGCATGTGAGCTGCAGAGGAAACTCCTTTCTGACAGCTCATTACCTAAGCTCTCTGTATGCTGCCACTTGCACTATTCTTGGTAAATTGAACAATAAGAATCCAAACAAGTGATCTAGGTTTTTCCCCACACTCCAAGAAGACAAAAACTAAGGTCCTCTGCTGGTGGGGCTAAAAAATGTCATATTCTACCCTAGCCTGTTTGGCTCACTGGATAGGGCTTTGGCCTGCTGACCACAGGATCTGGGTTTGATTCTGATCAAGGGCATGTACCTAGTTTGTGGGCTCCTCCCTGGCCAGGGCCCAGGTCAGGGCTCATGCAAGAGGCAAAGAATTGAAGTGTCCCTCTCACATTGATGTTTTTCTCTCTGTCTTTCCCTCTCTTTTCCAAGCTCTCTAAAAATTAATGGAAACATATCCTCAGGTAGGAGAAGGAAGGAAGGAAGGAAGGAAGGAAGGAAGGAAGGAAGGAAGGAAGAAAGAAAGAAAGAAAGAAAGAAAGAAAGAAAGAAAGAAAGAAAGAAAGGAAGGAAGAAAGAAAAAATGGCCGAAACCGGTTTTGCTCAGTGGATAGAGTGTCTGCCTGTGGACTGAAAGGTCCCAGGTTTGAATCCAGTCAAGGGCATGTACCTTGGTTGTGGGCACATCACCAATGGAGGCTGTGCAAAAAAAATCAATAAAAAAAAAAAAAAAGGGCATGTACCTTGGTTGTGGTCATATCCCCAGTGGGGGATGTGCAAGAGGCAGGTGATGGATGATTCTCTCTCATCGATGTTCCTAACTCTCTATTCCTCTCTCTTCCTCTCTGTAAAAAAAGTCAATAAAATACATTAAAAAGAAAGAAAGAAAGGAAGAAAGAAAGAAAGAAAGAAAGAAAGAAAGAAAGAAAGAAAGAAAGAAAAAATGTCAGATCCTATGAAAGAGACATCTGGAAAATGCCTAAAGAAAGTTGTTGTTTTTTTGTGGTGAAGGAACTGGAGTCCACATTGAAGAAAACACCATGGCAGATGTGGTGGCTGACAATGGCTGCAGCAGTGGGGTGATGGTGCTGGTGCCTTCTCCTGATCAGCCTGGTTGCCTCCTGCAGAGTGAGGCCAGACTGTGGCTTAGGCCCTCTCCTCATAGGAAGTGGGCCTAAGCTGTCAGTAGGACTTCCCCCAAGGGCTCCCAGTCTGTGAGAGGATGCAGGCTGGGGTGAGCGACCCACCCCTCAAGAGCACAAATTTTGTGCACTGAGCCTCTAGTAAACAAGGTGGTTAAGTGTTCATCTACCTGAGCAGCTGTCACCTGAGGAATTTTTTTTTTTTTTTTAATCTGGGGAATGTTTGTTGAGTTACCTGGTATTATGGAATGAACTGTCCACCCCCCAATTTATATATTGCTGGCCTGACACCCCATGTGACTGTACGCACTCATTTATTTTTTAAATATATTTTTATTGGTTTTTAGAGAGAGAAGAAGGGAGAAATAGAGAGATAGAAACATTGAAAAAAAAAAGAAACATCAATCAGTTGCTACTGCCTGCGTACTCCTGGAGGTTGGGCTCCAATCCAGGCATGTGCACCAACTGGGAATCCAACCAGTGATCTCTTGGTTCATGAGTCAACACTCAACCACTGAGTCACAATGGCCAGGCCCCATGTAACTGTATATTATAATTAATGTTAAATGAGGCCATAAGTGTGATACCTAATGCAATATGAATGGTATCCTTATGTGAAGAGGGTGAGACACCAATTCTCTCTATCCCCCACTTATATTTCTCTCTCTCTATCTCTCTCTCTGTGTGTGTCTCTCTAAATCAATAACTTTTATAAATCTTTTAAAAAATGTGTAACTCTCAGGGATTTGGAGACTCTGGAAATGCAGATAAGAAACTGGGGACTGGTGTATGTTTTGTGTGTGCAGAGACAGGATGTAAATGTGTTTGCTGCCATATACACACAAGACATATTATTCTTATTTCACACACAAAGAAAGTGAAACTCAGACAGCAAAAGAAGGCCCAAGCCAAGAAGCAGATACCTCAAAGGTGGAATCCAAGATCACCCATCAGACATTTCCTGACATTTGGTTGAAGCCTCCTTAGGTTTCAAAAATTCATATGATTCGTGCATTCTACCCTACAGTGCCCCTTTGGGATTTTTTCAAAATTCGAAAATAGTATTTCAGATCACACGCCATTGATGGAGTAAACCTACCAGGCAAAAAGGATGCTTCCTGCTACTCACAGATGATCCAGGGTGGGGAGTAGAGGAGGTGTCTTCAGGTAGGTGGGGCTTGGGCCCTCAGCTCTAATGCTCTGATCAATTAGTACCACCTCTCCCCCTCCAGGCTGGGCTCAGGGGCCACAGCTCCCTGGGCAACTCTGACTCCACCCTCACCCACTTCTTAAACAGGAGCTCATCTTGTTTATCCTCAGGAAACCACCAGCTCCAGTCCTCCCTTGGGACCCCGGAGCCTGCTCAGGATGTGCAGGCTTCTGAACTGTCCACTTCCCCCTTATGCTGCAACAGGAACAAGTTTTATCCCCTCCTAGGGGGTGATGTGGTTGCCTAGAAAATGCAGTGTTGATTTGGGTGGTGGAGGGATGTTTTTTCCTTTTCTTGCTTCACCCACTGAGGGAGAAAGGAAACCTGGGCTTAGATGGAGGGAACCCAGAGCACTACATCTGTGTATCTGTTGGCAAGCATGTGGGTGGGTGTGGGAAATAACAAAGCGGGCCTCTGCAGGGGTATCTGAGATCATCAGAAGTTCCTGCCTGACAGTCACACCTAGCACACAGGTGTTTATAATTGGGAGCACAGGTCAGGGACCCAGCACAGCTGTGGAGGTTGCAGTGCTTTGGAAGAGAAAGTTTCCACCAGGAACTAGCAGGTTCCAGGTACAGGGGACAAGAGATTCCCACCTCCCATGGGCTGTCCTGGCCTCGTTGGAGTCATTGCATGAGTTGCAGAAGATTGGAGGCAGTGAGCAGCGTGAGGAGAGAGCTAGAAGGAGATCCTCACGTACACTTCCGGTTGAGGGGACCCTCTTTGACCCTCTTGGGGATTTGAGGACACTCATCAATCCCCTTTGAGTTTCTTGATTCCTGTGTAGCTTAACCCAGTTTGGAGATGTCTCCCTCAATTCTAGATCATGAGCAGGAACCAGCTAGAGAGGAGGAAGCTGGCTACCTGGGCAGTTCCGGTCAGCTTCTGAGGCCATGGTGTCAGCAGTGGGATCTCAGAGTTTCCCCTTCGGCTCACCGGTCTGTGTTCAGCTGGAAGGAGGTGTTGCTTCACCCTTGGGGAAGAGAAAACAAATTGTGGGGTGCAAGGCGAGCCAGCTGTGCACCAGGGAGCAGTGAGGGGCTCCGTTTCTGGTGTTTCTTTCAGGGAGGGCCTCAGATGCCAAGATGGACTCAATCCCCTGTGTTTCCCTGTCTGCCTGGCTCTGCCAGCTGCTAGTTAGGAGCAGGTACTCACTTCACTCTAGCCTACTGCAAGTCAAGTGACAGTCTCTTTGTCCTGTGGGGGCACAAGGAGAAGAGCATCAGACAAGGAAACAGACAGGTGAGGAGAACAAAACCAGACACGAAAGATAGCAAGGAGAGTTGGGGAGGAATGCTTTGGAAATGACTTGAGGTTGGGGACATCTGGTTTCCTAATCAGTACAGCTGATATTGACGGTGTGCCTGCCACAGGCTCCTTACCTGTTCCCTCAGCAAGTACTCTCACACATTCCACGTGGTGGCCACCATTGTGGCTCCCATTGGAACGTGGAGGAAACCACCACAAAGTGTAGGTTTTCACCTAAACTCGGGTTAGCCCAAGTGCCACAGTAGTGCTAGAGCTAGGACTCCAACCCAAGTCTTCCTGATCCCAGTTTGTGAGATCTACTCCCTTTTACATACAAAAACGCTTATTGATGTGTCTGTGCTGATTGCAAATGACGCTTCTCATTGCCAAACGATGTCTTGCGCCCTGGCTCCAGTCTCTGCCTTGATAAATTCCTGAGGCTGTGGGCTCCCAAGCCTGCACTCTTTTTGCTTCTGCAAGACCCTCATGGCCTAAGGCCCTGGTGTCCTGCAGTCCCGGCCCCAGCCCTGCAGCCCTGCTGTGGGCTGCCTAGCCCTCCTGGCGCTGCTGGGTCCTCTCTGCTGCCCACGCCCACCGCTGGACCTTGGCTTGTTTCCAGTTCTTTATGAAAATAGTGCAGAGACAATCCTCGGGCATAGAAGCTCATCTGCATTTAAGATCATTTCCTTTAAGATTAATAAATAGAATGACTGGGACAGAGGGTTTCACCCTATAAAAATTCCTTTATGCCTAGAGCCACACTCAAATGCAAATAAATTGCAACAATTTACATTTATGCTCATAGGACATGAGGTGCCTATCTTTCCCATCTTCTAGTTCATTGTACTTTTAAAAAACCCACATACACATCATTGTTTTTAAAATTCCTTTATTAGGCTAAAAATAAACAACATATCATTTACCACCTTAACCATTTTTAAGGGTACAGTTCAATAGTGCTAAATTATATTTGTACTGGTATGTAACCAGTCCCCAGAACTCTCTTCATCTTATAAAACAGAACTCAGTATCCACTAAACAATAACTAGCCCCTAGAAACTGCCATTCTACTTCCCATTTCTATGGATTTGAGTGCTTCATATAAGTGGAATCACACAATGTTTCTCTTCCTGAGACTGCTTTACTTCACTTACCACAGTGTCCTCAAGGATCATGCATGTTGGAACATGGGCCAGAATGCCCTTCCTTTTTAAGGCTGTAATTTTTTAAAAAGGATTTTTTGGAAAACTTATTTGAGCCAAACTGCATTAAGATCTAAAATGCTCTGGAGAATAACAGTTTCTCAGCTTCTTCTATGCATTTGAAATGAAAGGGATGTAAGGAAGGTTACATGAAGGTGGGACAAAGCAGGTGGGGACTGGATTACAGGACAGTCAACAAGAGTGTGGTCTCTTCTTTTAAAAAATGTTTTCATTGACTTACAGAGAGGAAGGGAATGGAAGAGAGAGATAGAAATGTTGATGAGAGAGAAGCATCCAGTGGATGCCCCCTACATGCCCTCTGCTGGGTTTTGAGCCAACAATCCGAACATGTGCCCTGAATAGGAATCGAACTGTGACCTTTTCATTCATGGGCCAACATTCAATCATGGAGCCAACATTCAATCATGTAAAGCAAGATTATGCTGTCTGGAGAGTGGTTATTTCTCAGGTGTGTTCACCTAGATGCACAGATACAATGGACAGGGCTTGCCTAAGGAAAACAAACCTTTTGCTAAAGAGTATAAGCCTGGGATGTGACCATCCGCCATGACCTGCCCAGCTAGGATTTTAAGATTACATCACCCTGTGGGTTACTTGGCATAGAACCCATTTCTCATCCACGGTCCCCCTTTTGATCACAAGTCAGTTTGAAGGATGTGTGGATGACCAACCTTTTGTTGGAGAGCGTGGTCCCACAGCGCTAGGAGGGCTCCTTCCTGGGAAGTGTCAGTGCCCACCTTGTCTTGGTGACCATGGGGATGGGGCCACACTGTAATCAGGGGCTCTGTGTTGAGGCCACATTTTCCCAAAATGATACAGGCAGGGAAAGGAGAGGCAGACAGGTCTTATGGCCTTCACTGTGAAAACACACTCTGGCCCTGGCTGGAGCAATCGCTGTTTCTCTGTTTCTGTCTCTCGATCTCAAATCAATAATAATAGAAACACTCTGGGTCATTTCTGTTCTGTGAACTATCATGATGGGAACAGACCTCTCCATGAAGAGGATTCCCCAGTTCTGTATGGACTATCTTGCCCAGAAGCCCAGGGAAGAAAGGAAATGTTGATTGTCTGTAGCATTATTTTCAGAAGCATAACAGCATTTATCATCCACCCCTCCTGAGACCTGCCTGACACAGGGAGCCAAGGGACTTGATGGTATGTTAATCGCTGATACCAAGGTGGTTCACCTGCATGGTCTTTGCTCAGCCCCAGAATGCTCTAAGGCACATGTGTCAAACACAAGGCCCGCGGGCCAAATCCGTCCCGCCAGGCCTTGCAATGTGGCCCGCACCGCGCTGTCATCACTGCACTCCGCTGCGTTTCCATCACAATGACAGTTTATGACTGTTCAGTAAACCATTTGGCCTGCGATTTAGGCTGGATTTTAGATTTTGGCCCCTTCTCTGATTGAGTTAGACACCCCTACTCTAAGGTTTACAAATAATGACTCACATTCTTCCAATAACATTTGAACTGTTTACCATTTGTATGTGCAACACAGGGCCAGGTTTATTGTTTGCTGAACCTCCTGACCCTGGGCACGCCCTGGATTCCTGGCACTGACGGCTCAACCTGGGGTGTCCCTTGGGGGGGACAATGAACAGCCAGCCACTCAACAACACAGCAATCCCCACTTTCATTCTCAACTGAGTCACTCTATTTGGTTTTCTTGCCGATCTTGATGCAAAAACTGTGACTCGGATTTCACACAAATGTCCCCCACTGATTTCATGTACTTCTCACAGTTCTATCGGCTTTCTCAGAGTTCCATCTATCTCCTCCTGTCTCCTTTCTGCAGACATCACATTTTTATAAGAGGAGAAAGAGGAAGAGAGGAAGGTGAACAACGAATTCTGACACCTGACCCTAGCCCCTCCCACTCCTGCTCACTACCTGCTGCCAGGCACTTTGCTTCCTGTACCAGAGGCTCCTTGAAGGCTGTAGATACCCATTGAACATGCCCTGCGTTAGGAAGAAGACCCGGATGCAGAGGAAGTAGAGGAAGAAATAAAAAGCTTCCACAGCCCTGCGGGTAGGCTCAGAAGTGTGGCCTCAGCTTGTGTACTGAAGGGTGGAGAGTTTGATTCTTGGTCAATGGCATGGACCTGGGTTGCAGGGTACATCCCTGAACCAGGTTAGGGCACAGGGCATCTGTGGGAGGTAAAAAATTGATGCACCTCTCACACATCAATGTTTGTCTCACTTACCCTCTTCCTTCCTTCCTTCCTTTTTTCCTTCCTTCCTTCCTTCTTCCCTCCCTCCCTCCTTGCCTTCCTTCCACTCTCTGTAAAAATCAATGGAAAAAAATATCCTCAGTTGAGGATTAACAAAACAAAGAAACACAAAATCTTCTTCCAAATCAATCAATCCAAAAGGAATCTAAATGTAAAGCCAAAAGGAGAACTATAAACGTGGGGGGGGGGGGGGGATGTGAAAAGTCAGGTTGAGTTGCAGAAACATAGCTAATAAAGAGATAAATCCCAAAAGCCATAAAGCAATTGACTTCACTTCTTAACAATACAGACTGCAAAGCCAACGTTCAGCCAAGGCAGCCATGAGAGGCCAGGCCACTGTGTCCAGCAGGTACTCCAACCACAGGTGACTCGCTGTGCACAGTACACAGGAGGAGAGACTGAACCCAAATTCTTAAACATGGGAGACGCAGGAACAAATCCTTCTCAGGGAAGGGGCTTGCCCAGTGTCAGGCAGCTCCGGAGGGCAGAGGAGAGGCCCACACCTCCTGGTGCTGGTAGCTAAGCAGGGAAATGTGGTCCCAGTACCACAGCAGCTCCCAGGTGTGTCTCTGCTGTACAGACACAGGGAGCTGGGCTCAGACACACAGACCACCTCCTAAATCTCCCATCCCCCACCTTTATGAGCAAGGCCGTCCAAGAGAAGGGAGGCACAGCCTGCCCGCCCTCCTGCTCAGTGTCTCAACGTGCATCGGGGCAAGTCATTCCCCTCTCAGGGCCTCAGTTTCCCAGGAGGCCCGGCACTAAGCTGAAAGGGTGGGTGAAACAATGTCAAGATTTGAATTCTCAAAGGCAATCCTTTACCCCATCAGCCTCAGCAGCAGCCCCTGAAGTCAGCCTCAGGGCACCCAGGCCACAAGGAACTGAGGCTCTTACTCACCTACCGTTCCGCAACTTTTCTGCTTCCCCCAAACCCCCATTTCCACCTCTTCTACTTCCTCCAGATCCCTCCACACCCCGCTTGCTGTGTGGTCACTGGCTCTTGTCTCAGGGAGTCCAGGTCAGAGCTGAGTTGGAGGGAGGAGGTGAACCCACCTGAGCAGTGACCCCCTTCCTCTCCAAGGTTAGGGAGGAACCTCAGACAAAACTGGGTTCCAATCCGGGCTCTGTCACTGCTTACATGTGCCTTTGGGCCCATTACCACCACCTCCCAGCCATGTACCACGCATTAATTCCCTCACCTACACAATAGTGACAATATCCTTGTCTTAGAAAGTGTGAGGATGAGAAGGGGGGGAGGCGCTCCTACCCTCCCAACTTACCGAGCTTCTTCCTCTGCAAGATTAAAAACAAGACCCACTTGTTCTTAGCTGTGCACATCCACTCGGCAGCTCGTCTGCACAAACATCTTCGGGGTCTAATATACTTGGAAAGAAAAACTGAAAGTAAATATTCAGATTCTGAAAAGGTCAGGGTCAAGCACATTACCCAACCTGCGTTGCAACAGGATAGCCCCTCCCTGCCTGCTCACGCCCAGAGCAAGTCCCTGTCTGACCTCCCAGGTCCTTCACTGCTCAGCCCATCCTGCCTCCCTCAGGTTTCCAGAAGGAAGACCTGCCACAGACACACAGAGGGATCCTGGGCAAATTTCTCCATCCAACCCATGGGACTGTCCCCAGAACCCTCCTTTCTCATCCTCTCCACTCACCCCCAAAGCCCCCCTTTGTCACCCTCTGTCCGAGATGGGCACTGCCCTGAGCACAGCAGAGGCTCACTGCCTCCTTGCATTGCCTTGGTCCCTGCTCCCATTGCAGGCACCGCCCAGGCAGTTTCCAGACATTTGCTTTTGTAGGTCCTTCTGCCAGGAGCACCTGCTTCTCCCACCTGGAACAGCATGCTCCTCCTTCAAAGACCAACTCTGGATTACCTCCTCTGAGAAGCCCTCCACATTTCTCCTTCCCAGAGTCCACTGTTCTCTGCAGGATCTGCTCCCCTGACATCTGGGGGAGGCCCAGGGCCACTGAGTCCATGTCTCCCCTGACCCTTTAGAGCAGTCCTCTCGGAACCTGTCCCTGGTGCCGAGGTCAGGGACCTGAGACCTGTCTGAGGAGACGAAACAGGTTGTCATGGCCATCTGTGGGAGCACCAGTTTGTGGGCATTGGCAGAGAGAAGCCTCCTGTTACCTCTCCTGCCCTTTCTTCTTGACAGCAGACCTCTCTATAGGAAGCCCAGTGGACACCACGGCCACCTCTCCCACTTCTTGGGGGGCGGTGGGGTAGAGTGATGACGGTATTGCTGAAGCATCCATCTTGTATGAATACTGTTGTTTGAAATTTTAACCCTGCTATTTGGCTTCTGGGGACTTAAGCTTTCCCAGACAAGGTCATCAGTGCTGGCGCCAGGCCAGGCCTCAGGTTGAGGTCTCAAGGCCCCAGTACACACTGGCTCTTTAAGAACTTGCAAAAGGGGGTTGGAAACACCCCATATTTGGGAGACAAAGAAGGTAAAATCATATAAATAGGGAGAATTCCTGCACGTTGGGGCCCAGAATTTGAGATACAGTTTCCTCTGGACCCTCGCGTTATAAATATAACTCCATATCTCTAAGTATTGCTTTGTTCTTCTTCAGTTTTCTCTAACATTGAATGAGGACCACACACCGGGCCTTCACATACTCCCCCAGCAAAGGCCTGGCTTCAGAGAAGAGGAAGCCAAGGTGAGGGGAGAGGTGGGCCTTGCCCCAGGCAGCTCAGGGAAGGGGCCAAGACTCAGAGCCAGTGTCACAGTTGGCCTCTGGCTCTGTTCACAGTTATTTTTGTCTTGTTTTTCCTGGAACCTGCCTTCCTCCTGGTTCCTCTCCCTTTCACTAGCCTGGCTGCTTCTGGCCACCCCCAGACCCCCTTTGAATCAAGCATTGCTAATCAAGACACAAATTCCAGAAGCATACAGGGAAACTTTGATTGATTTGTCATTTTAAAAGTTAGACACTGGGCCGAAACTGGTTTGGCTCAGTGGATAGAGCATCGGCCTGTGGACTGAAAGGTCCCAGGTTCGATTCCAGTCAAGGGCATGTACCTTGGCTGTGGGTACATCCTCAGTAGGGGGTTTGCAAGAGGCAGCTGATTTATGATTCTCTCTCCTCGATGTTTCTAACTCTCTATTCCTTTCTCTTTCTCTCTGTAAAAAAACAAAACAAAAATCAATAAAATATATTTTTAAAAAATAAATAAATAATAAATAAAATAAAAGTTAGAAACTGCAAAGGATACCATCAGCCAAGTCAGACTATGAGAAGCCAAGCCACTGTGAGCAGAAGGTACGTGGACCACAAGTGACTCACTGTGCACAGTACACAGGAGGAGAGACTGAACCCAAATTCTTAAACATGGGAGACGCAGGAACAAATCCTTCTCAGGGAAGGGGCTTGCTCCTGAGGGCAGAGGAGAGGCCCACACCTCCTGGTGCTGGTAGCTAAGCAGGGAGATGTGGTTTCAGTACCACAGCAGTTCCCAGGTGTGTCTATGCTGTACAGACATAGGGAGCTGGGCTCAGACTCGTCCAGCTCAGACACACACACCACCTCCTGTGTCTCCCATCCTCCACCGTTATGAGCGAGGCCGGCCAAGAGCAGGGAGGCACAGCCTGCCCACCCTCCTGCTCAGTGTCTCAACATGGCACCCGGGGCAAGTCATTCCCCTCTCAGGGCCTCAGTTTCCCAGGAGGCCCGGCACTAAGCTGAAAGGGTGGGTGAAACAATGTCAGGATTTGAACTTTCAAAGGCAATCCTTTACCCCATCAGCCTCAGCAGCAGCCCCTGAAGGCAGCCTCAGGGCACCCAGGCCACAAGGAACTGAGGCTCTTACTTACTTACCATCCCTCAACTTTTCTGCTTCTCCCCAAACCCCCATTTCTACCTCTTCTACTTCCTGCAGATCCTCCACACCCCCCCCTTGCTGTGTGGTCACTGGCTCCTGTCTCAGGGAATCCAGGTCTGAGCCAAGGCCTGGTTTCAGAGAAGTGGAACCCACCTGAGCAGTGCCCCCCTTCTTCTCCACGGTTTCGGGGTACTGGGGTAGGGTGGAACTTTAGACAAAACTGGGTTCCAATCCGGGCTCAGCACCCCCTCCCTGCGTCGGTTCCCACTCCCACCCCTCCCGCTTTCATTTCCCTCACCTACACAATAGTGGCAATATCCTTGTCTTAGAAAGTGTGAGGATGAGAAGGTGGGGGAGGCGCTCCTACCCTCCCAACTTACCGGGCTTCTCCCTCTGCAAGATTAAAATCAAAACCCACTTGTTCTTAGCTGTGCATATCCACTCGGCAGCTCATCTGCACAAACATCTTCGGGGTCTAATATACTTGGAAAGGAAAACTGAAAGTAAATATTCAGGTTCTGAGAAGGTCAGGATCAAGCGCATTACCAACCTGCATTGCAACAGGATAGCCCCTCCCTGCCTGCTCACGCCCAGAGCAAGTCCCTGTCTGACCTCCCAGGTCCTTCACTGCTCAGCCCATCCTGCCTCCCTCAGGTTTCCAGAAAGAAGACCTGCCACAGACACACAGAGGGATCCTGGGGAAATTTCTCCCTCCACCCATGGGACTGTCCCCAGACCCCTCCTTTCTCATCCTCTCCACTCACCCCCAAAGCTCCCCCTTAGTCACCCTCTGTTCGAGATGGGCACCGCCCTGAGCACAGCAGAGGCTCACTGCCTCTTGCATTGCCTTGGTCCCTGCTCCTATTGCAGGCGCTGCCCAGGCAGTTTCCAGACATTTGCTTTTGTAGGTCCTTCTGCCAGGAGCACCTGCTTCTCCCACCTGGAACAACATGCTCATCCCTCTAAGCCCAACTCTGTGATCACCTCCTCTGAGAAGCCCTCCACATTTCCCCCTCCCAGAGTCCACTCTCTCCTGCAGGCTCTGCTCCCCTGGCACCTGGGGGAGGCCCAGGGCCACTGAGTCCGTGTCTCCCCTGAACTTTAGAGCAGGCCTCTCCGAACCTGTCCCTGGTTGGGGGGTCAGTGCCTGGGAATCACGGCGACCTGTCTGAGGAGGCCATCCCAGGTGGTCATGGCCATCTGTGGGAGCACAAGTTTGTGGGCGTTGGCAGAGAGAAGCCGCTGTTCCCTCTCCAGCCCCTTTCCTCTTGACAGCACCTCTCTCTCTAGGAAGCCCAGAGGGCACCACGGCCACCTCCCCCACTTTTCAGGGGGCAGCAGAGTGATGATGGTATTGCTGAATCATCCATCTCGTATGAAAACTGCTGTTTGAAATTTTAACCCTGCTATTTGGCTTCTGGGGACTTAAGCTTTCCCAGACAAGGTCATCAGTGCTGGCGCCAGGCCAGGCCTCTGGTTGAGGTCTCAAGGCCCCAGTACACACTGGCTCTTTAAGAACTTGCAAAAGGGGGCTGGAAACACCCCATATTTGGGAGACAAAGAAGGTAAAATCATATAAATAGGGAGAATTCCTGCATGTTGGGGCCAAGAATTTGAGATACAGTTTCCTCTGCACCGCACGTTATAAATATAACTCCATATCTCTAAGTATTGCTTTGTTCTTCTTCAGTTTTCTCTAACATTGAATGAGGACCACACACCAGGGCTTCGCATACTCCACCAGCAAAGGCCTGGCTTCAGAGAAGAGGAAGCCAAGGTGAGGGGAGAGGCAGGCCATGCCCCAGGCAACTGAGGGGAGAGGCCAAGACTCAGAGCCAGTGTCACAGTAGTCCTCTGGTGCTGGTTACAATTATTTTTGTCTTATTTTTCTGGAAACCTGCCTTCTTCCTGGTTCCTCTCCCTTTCACTAGCCTGGCTGCTTCTGGCCACCCCCACACCCCCTTCGAATCAAGCATTGCTAATCAAGACACAAATTCCAGAAGCATACAGGGAAACTTTGATTGATTTGTCCTCTTAAAAGTTAGACACTGGGCCAAAACTGGTTTGGCTCAGTGGATAGAGCGTCAGTCTGCGCACAGAAAGGTCCAAGGTTCGATTCTGGTCAAGGGCATGTACCTTGGCTGCCAGCACATCCCCAATAGGGGGTGTGCAAGAGGCAGCTGATCGATGATTCTCTCATCGATGTTTCTAACTCTCTATTCCTTTCTCTTCCTCTATGTAAAAAAAATCAATAAAATATATTTAAAAAATAAAAATAAATAAAATAAAAGTTAGAAACTGCAAAGACTACCGTCAGCCATGTCAGACCACGAGAAGCCGAGCCACTGTGTCCAGCAGGTATGTGGACCAGGGTGACTCGCTGTGCACAGTACACAGGAGGAGAGACTGAACCCAAATTCGTAAACATGGGGAGACACAGGAACAAACCCTTCTCAGGGAAGGGGCTTGCCCAGCATCAGGCAGCTCTGGAGGGCAGAGGAGAGGCCCACACCTCCTGGTGCTGGTGGCTAAGCAGGGAGATGTGGTTTCAGTACCACAGCAGCTCCCAGGTGTGTCTCTGCTGTACAGACACAGGGAGCTGGGCTCAGACTCGTCCAGCTCAGACACACACACCACCTCCTACGTCTCCCATCCCCCACTGTTATGAGCGAGGCCGGCCAAGAGCAGGGAGGCACAGCCTGCCCACCCTCCTGCTCAGTGTCTCAACATGGCACCCGGGGCAAGTCATTCCCCTCTCAGGGCCTCAGTTTCCCACGAGGCC